GTTCCTGGAAGGTGTTGTTAACACTTAGCCGCCGGAGCTTGGCGTTCGACGCGTACGGCGGCACCCCCAGTGCCAGCTAGTACCCCTTGCGAATAATCACGTCCATCTTGCCCTTACCTCTCGACAGCAGGTTGAGATACGGATTTGCGCAGGCGATGTGGCTCACGACGAGTGGTTGGGTCAGCCGGATCAGGTCCGACTCCTCGAGCCCGTGTCTGTGACTCGTTATCCTTCTCACCATGCGCATGACTTGCGTGGTTGTCTTGACGAGTCGGTCGACCGTGTACTTGGCTCCGCCGTCCCGCTGGAGGTGAAGGCCCCAGGATCCGAACCCGCTTCACCACCGGCACGGGGGTACCATCCTTTAACGTGAGGCGGATGTCCGCCTTCTTCTTCTTCGGGAATAGGCTTGCCCGCGCAGAGGAGCAACAGCTGAGACTTATCGGGGGCGCGCTGGAGGTTGCCGGCCTCGAGGTGGTTCTGCACCGTCTCGATGACTTCTTCGAGGAAGTCTTGCCTCCCGCTGTCCGATCCCGACGTAGCCCAAATAGTCAGGTCGTCCACGTAGAGTGGCATAGAGTGTATGCTTCATCCGGGGAATCCGTTCCAGTAGAGGCGGCTTGCACATCGCCAGGTAACAAGGTGGGTGACAGGACCGAGCCTTGCCGGTTCCCCTTGCTCGGTATCGGGATGGTGCTTGAGCGGACGGACTCGATTCCGATGGTGGCCATCCAGTTGCTCAGGAAGTCCCGCACATAATCATACATCCGGGGCCCGCACCCAGTTGAGGCCAAGTTTTCGAACACCAGCGTGTGACTGACGTTGTCAAAGGCGCCCTTTATATCCAGGGCCAGGACCGCCCGTGTTGTCGTACAGGAGATTCTGTCAAGGATATCCTCCTTGATCTGAAGCAGGACATCCTGCGTGGAGGTGTGACCAGAACCCGAAAATGGTGTTCATGGTGGCATTGAGTTCATACAGGATGGTCCCCTCAAATATCGCTGTAAACAACTCATCAGGGCATGGGCATTTAAAAAACTAAAATGGAGTGTCCAGGTCTGTGACGCTTGGCGGTATACCTGATAACCTCTATTTCTTTTGGATCCTTTTCAAGGGAGTATATTTTCCACTTCGGGGCACTTTTCTTGTTTCTGGCACTTACTACTGCAGGAACTGTTTCACCCTCACTTTCTTCTTTGCTTTCACAGCACTCATTTGATGTTAATGTGGAAGGGAATAGGCCGGATTCCACTCCTCGTTCCTACGTAAAATGTGCTGGCGTCCAATACCTGCCACAAAAAGGGTACTTAAGATTCCAAAAATGACTAAGAGTGTGTAAACATATGATGCCAGCATTTCTTTTTTTTTTTTTATTTCCAATGAGCAACATTATATTATGCCAAAACTCTCCCTAAGTGCACACTGCATTTCACAGGGCGCTAAACTCTGCCGGAAAAATCGGCACCTGCACGCAAAGGGGCGTCGTTTCCTCAGCAGTGTATTTTACCTTGTGAAATTTTAAGGCGCTCCTTTCTTTTGCAGCTAGAACATCCTTAAAAATACTAGAAATGCGTTCGCCACGGACGATTGAGTCTTCCGCCGGCAAACGCTGTCGTTTGCATACGATACGCCTTGAAATTTTCACCCCATGGTCGATCAGGCGCCGATTTTTCCAGTTGCTTTGCCATACCTTGAGCCACCCAGAAACGCCGCGCGCGCCCGTAAATTAAAAAAAAAAAAAGAAAAGAATGGAACGGCATTGAGTGTTTTGTTTACTTACCGACTTTGTGCGTGGACCGCGCCACGTTGCGCTGCCTGATGCACCCGCGTTTTGGAACTAATTCAGTTGACAGTTCCCTCCGAAGATGAAGCCCCTGAAGCCACGGCGGTAATCGGACTGGTAGGCTGTTCCCTTTCGAACGGGCGGAAGAAGACTACGAAGAATTCGGCAGCGAACGGGCGGAAACTCGATTACGTATAGCTTCAGTAGTCGACGCTTTGTTTTCTCGATTGCGTTCGCGGCGTTCACCGTGGACTCGCGCACTCGGCCGTAGCCGAACGGCCGAACCAGCTGGACCGGCTGGACGGCTGCCGGCGCGCGTTCCGACACCGTCGCCATAGCAACCACGCCGCGAGTGTGGTTGCCAGACAGAATTCACACGATTTTTTTTTCTCGTCACTCACGTTGAGTTATTAGAAGTTAGGCGCGTATCATTATAATACATTATGCTGTAAGAAGTTATTAAGGGATATGTGTACCTACCTAAGACAAATGCAGAAAAAATATTATTGAAAAATAAAATTGGCGTAATCTTTTCATATCTCGATTAAGACTAGCGTGGTCACTGGGCTAACCGATGCGCGAAATAGGAGGGCATATATACCGCTCGGGGCACTTGTTGGTTTGTATAAGTAGGATGTATGTACTATTTGTTGTGTGTTGTGCAATTGATCGGTGCATGTATCCCCGTTTTTATGTACAGTGTTGTGTGTATGTCCATGTCGTGAGTAGATGTAACCGCGCGGCGGGCAGCAAAAAAAAAAAACTGCTTTTTCTTTTTAAAAATGTTTCACTTTTTTTTTTTCGTCGCTAGATGGGGGTTGTCGCCGCCCAATTTGAAAAGTGTGGCGGTTGGTGATCTATAACTATTAGAGGGCTGGATGCCATTAGTCCATCCGTCGTGTTGATCGCTCCGAGTTCTTCGGTTCCGCTGGTAGCTGTGTCGCCGTGTTATGCTGCCTGATTGCAAAAAAAGGAGGTTAGGCGGCTTCCCCAGCGCGTGTTCTAGGTGCTGAATGCCACTGTTCACGCACAAACGTTCATGAGTGGATAACGCACGTAACAGAGGTGAGCACAGGCAATAGTTAATCGAGAGCCACACGGAGCGCGAGTGCGATACCTCCTAGCCGCTGTCGACAGAGGGTGTCGGAGCGATTCGTTGTCAACTTGTCGTCCACGGCAAGTGGGCGTTTTGTTCAGTAAAGCCAGCCTGTCGGTGTTTTGTAAAGCTATCCCTTCTTTATGAGCGCTTCTGATGCGATGAAAATGCGACCGGCATTGAGCAGGCCGAGCGAGACTTCGGCGACAGTCTCGGCTGTTCAGTCTCCAGCGGTTTCGGCCTTACTCGTATTATTTGCGGTGTTGGCGCTTGGACATAGAGATGTTTGGAAAGTTTTTTGCGCCTACAGATGACACCAAACGAGCGTGCGAGCCGTATGCTCTTGCTCCGGCGAGAAGCCGCGTACGGCTCGCCAGGCTCGTATCGCCTGTCGCATACTGGCCGCCATATTGTTTTTAGGGTGTTAGCAGTTAACACGATTTTCACTACCTCCGGCGGCTAACACCCTTACACGAATAAAGGCGTTAGCCAGAGGACGAGCCATTTACACGAATAAGGGTGTAAAAATTTTAAGTGTGCAGATAAAAAGCCGTTTTGCTCTGCCAAACCGCCACTGCGGCAAAACCGCAAGCAAATCCTGCTCGCCGAAGGCCTTTGGAACGGTCAGAAACGGTCGGATCCTCCAGCCCAAACGACCGCAGCGCCGCCGCGTACATCCGGTACCTTTCTACCCTCGCCGCTTCGCCTCAATCTGTGGCGCGCGTCGGCGCCTGATCCCACTACCCCTTTCTAGTATGCGGCGGCTTTTCCACCGCTTGGTGGTCGGTATGTCGACGGGTCATTTCTTGTTTCCGTACTTTCTGAACTGCATTTCTTTCTTTTCTTATCTAAAATACTAAACAAAAACTACTTTCATACATATTTGCAACCATTCGCGCTACTTTTATTTTTTGTATTTTGACTAAAAAATGCTTTTATTGGCTCTAACCAACCGTAAGGCAGGAGCAGGCCAGGATCGACAACGTCACCATGTGGTCACATGCCGCGCGCGTTCGGTACCACGGGGTGCCCTCGTAGGTGGAGGAGGCTTCCGCGTCGTCCGGTTAATATATGACGCACTGATATTTAGTTACTCTCTGCGTGCCCGTTGGGTTGCACGAACAACAAGAGATGTGAAAACCGCAAAAAAAAGGTAGACGTTTAAATAGAAAACAGGGCCTCTTTAAACATGATATCCCGCCTCCGCATCAGCCTCACTTTATTTGTGAATTATATCGAAGACAACGAGTACTCTGACAAGGTGCCAGGAACTATTTAATAAATCGGTGCACAAATGACGACGACTAAGCATTGCATCTTAAAGTAGAGCTTGGAATATTTAGCATTTTTAAATATAAGAATTTATATGTTCGAACCACATATATATTTATCGAGCGTTTTAGATCGTACCGAGAGCTCATCATACAAAACAAAATATAATTTAAAATGGCCTTTTTAATCAAATAGATCTTAAAAGTTTTACTTTTAGAGCTCCCTATTTTATTCAAAGGCGCCTTCCGCCAATATCGCCTTATTTGAATATAACAGTATTGTTCTTATAGATTGGTTTTAACACAAGTTTTATCATCATCTAAACGTGGTGAATTATTATCAAAGGGGCCAGGTTTGGGGGGATTGTTTACAAAACTAAATGCAAACAACAAAAAACAATGTGTGAATAATCAGCTCTTCTATTGAACTTTACTAAGCCTTGTAAAACGTTTTTTTTTTTTTTATTCTTCGGGTGGTATCTGAGCCTACAGAAGCTCCCGAATACGCGACCTGTGACGATCTCCCAAATCCCCAAAATTTGTCTTTGGTCTGAAAGAAGTCAGACTCCTAAACCTAAAATACGGCACAAAGACCGTTTTCAGTTTCTTCCTAGTGAAGTCTTTTCCCAGCATATATATGTTTTCAAAAGTTTTTGAGGCATGACCTATTTTTCTTGTGCGATTTGAAATGAAATCGGTTACGCATGTTGGATCGATATACCTCATGGATCCTTAATGCCTTATGGTGAGACCTAAACATCCGTAGCGTTCACTTTTGTCGATCGTAGAGTGCGATGAATTATAAAAATTATGACTTTTTAAAATCTTTATAGTACAGAAGACAACTTACGCTTTGGGAGAAATATGATGACCACCGAACAGAGAGCGGAGAATGCGTACAGGATGACGTAAGATGGTCGTCGTCTGATGTAGTTGATGAATAGCACAGAAATAAGCCTAACTGGGTACTCCATTGCTGCCATGAGGGCAAAGCTCACGTAAGGATTTCCCCCTAGCAGTATGCTTGAATACGTCAGATTGTAGTAAAGAAGTGTGCCCAGAATCCTGTAACAAAAGACGGACCAAGAGCTATTAAATCTGAAATATTATAAAAAGTTTTGTCTGCGTTATAAGGCACATGAGAATGAAGAAGCATAATATTTTTTCTTGAACTATACTTTTTTTTTTTAGTATGCTACACCTTAGCACACTCTAAAAAAAAAATGTCTGTAAGTCTACTTTCACGCACAACACTCGGAGAGCCAATTACCGCAACTTACGGAGGCAGCTCAGCGAATGACAATGCGGGAACGTATGTTTAGACCAAAAAACGCAGTCTGAGTTGTGGCATTCAGCAATGCAAAACTTCACGCTTGCATTGCTTAATGTCACAACTCAGACTGCATTTTTTGGTCTAAACTTATGTTTCGGCATCGTCATTCGCTGAGCTGCCTCCGTAAGTTGCGGTGATTGGCTCTCCGAGTGGTGTGCGTGAAAGCACACGCGCAGACTTTTTTAGAGTGTAGTATAAACGACAATTCACTTAACAGATTTTTGCATCGTTAGCCGCATCGTACTGGACCCTCTTGATTTTTACTCTTCATCATATGTTTATTTTTATCATAGTTATTTGTGTTCGTCAATCCTCTCCTACGGTGGCATCCCTGGTCTGAACTACCTATAAAACTACATGCATTGAGAATTGCATGTAGTTTTACTTAAAACAGCTCTGAATTGATCGTTGCCTTTCATCAATAGCGTTGGAGCAAGGTGCCGGTGTTAGGAGAGGGGGCGGAAGATCACTGCACCTTTCACAAACATTTACTAGATTTCTAGTAAGGGCTTCAGTGTTTGGAAGTGAAAACTGTCCTACCATTTTCCCAACACTCATACGATGCCACTTAGCAGCATGCTACGCTGGGTTTCTATAGGTAAGAAGCAAACGTGTTAAGAATTGGTGCACGCTCCAGCCAGAAGTACCACTCACTTATAGATCTGTATGTTTAGGAACATGGCATTCATAATTTAAACTTTCAGCAGTTAACTCATAAGAGAGTCATGTTGCATAAGGAACGATGGATGAACATATTAAAGTGCATAACCGCCTCTTAACACCCATATTAACCACGTCACCCCCTTAGTTTTTTTGCGCAGTACCTTCATATGATAGCTTATGAACTTTAATGATCGGAAGGTGTTCTCGTACCGAAAATGTCGTCCTATCTTGAATAACATTCAAGCTTGATTATATAATTTGTGTACCATAAAGTGAATAGCGCTTTGTAAGACCAGCTGGCATCGATATAAGAACTTTCTACTTACGACATGGTGCACATATTTACTGTTGTCCACCTAATGCAGGAGACGCGAAAAAGTTCAATAAAGGTGGGCTTCTTAGACGTGTTTTCCTAGAAAGCAATAAAAGAGAAACCCGCCCCCCTAAGTTAGAAAACAGAACGCTCAAAAGTTGAAAAGAAATTTTCTATGTTTTAAAATCACATTCAATCTTGCTGCCTTAAGAACACCTGACACGTGGCTACTTGATGTGTCAGGTGTCATTCCCAGGAGCTCTCTTGCAAACACTGTCTAGTGTCCGTTACGGCCGGATTATATTCCCAGGTATTAAGGCATTTATAACACTATAGCGCTGAAGTATTTCTTCGTGTTCTTTAAAGTGGATGTAAAATAATTAATAATTCTCCGTTGCCCAACATCAAACTGCGATGTCCATACACTCAGTCATGAGCGACGTTTCATATATATCTCACACAGCCTCTGTAGAGGTCATTAAAGTTTAACACATAAGGGCTACCTTAATGGAAACAATACAAAGATATATTCCTTAACATGTTCTGCATATATTGTATTAAAGAGTTTGTGACCAAATTATTATTTGAAAGGTTAGCTAGTTATTTTGTTAATTATTCAGTGTTGACGATTGTAAACAAATATACTAACTTGCTCAGTGGGACTATGAACAGTAAGACACCAACTTTTTAGGTCTTGGTACGAACTATCTGAAACTATTCATGCATCGAATGCATTCTAACACCATCATAATCTTCCTGAAATATCCAAGTCTGTCTGTCCGTTCGCTTGCGCGTGCCCCCGCCCCCCCTCCCCCCCCCCCCCCCCTCTTTCTGGACCGCGGTGCGTAAGTGGCCGGATATGTCAGAAAAGCCACTTGGATTATTATGGCGACAAAATCGAAAGAATGCACGTGCTTGCTTCGGATTTCTGCGATATATGATTATCCTACACCAAAAATAAAACGAATAATCACTCCGTTCCCAGCCCAAAGGTTCACCCCCGCGCCAGCCCGAGCACTTTCAAAATACACCGGCTAAGGCGACAGTCCCACGTATCTCCTAGTGTTACGAAATGACTATGCATGCGTAGTGCATGCATGGTGATGTTGTAGATGAGGGTGACGGCATTTCGAGAACTGTATGTTACGTTTCGTTCCCTGGAAGAACTTATAATTGTTTTCTAGACAAATTAAAACAGCCGCTCCTTAAATTACATGTGCTGTGCATAGAGGAGTTTAAAGATGATGGTTGCTGCTGTTTCTATCAGCATTTTTAAAAAGTAATTAGTACTTCTTGCACAATGTTGTATTATTGAACGTGAAAAACAGGAGTCTGTTTTTCTTCTAAACTACGCTGCCAGGACTACAGTGACGACCAAGGGTAATGTATATGCATTTAGGGTCATTAGATGCTCGTGTCACTCATCCACTTTGTACGCGCATCATGAGGTATTTCCTGACGGAGGGGCCGAGCAAATTGTGTAAGCACAATTTCAGAACTGTTATCTTCGTATTTCTTACGTGTTTTGCGGCGCCTCGAATGAGTCTTCGAATGGTGTTTTTAGCGTCCTGTTCTATTCCGTTCATGCATAATGAGTGGTCAACGAACGACGTCACATAAGTCGGTATATCATGTTGTCAGATGTATCGATCTTTGAGCTTGGTGCTAGAAGCACCGGCAGTAAGTACGAGCGAACGCCAGTGTCGCTGTCGTCGCGGAGTTCCAAATCCTGGCTGCTGAAATTCTTGTGGACTGTCAAATCAAAGTGCGACCTGCTGTAGAAACGGCGACTTCCCGCTTTACTATAACTCCTATGTCACCGCTAGGATAGCGGCACGCAACAGCATGACGCTTTATGGCGTCATCACGACGAAATCGAGAAATCACATTTTAGGACACGGTAAACACACCAGTGGGAGACGCGTTTCAGGTACCATAGCTGCATTGGACATTGTTTGAAATGAATGGCTACACACCATGGCAATTTGAAGTTATTTTAAAGAATACTTATTCTTTCCCAGATTTGCATATATCCGGACGTGCTGTTCTAAAAGGACATTTGGTTATTATTGAGAGCTATTTATTTTAGATTCATTTTCTTTCAGCATCTACTTGTTTTCGTATCTTGCAGCAATGATGCAAGAAAAAGCGTGATCGCGGAAGTGCCAAGTGGCAACAAAAGTTGCTTTCGCATGGCCTTGAAACCGGTTACTGCAATCTTTAAACATATGGCACCTTCTTATCGAACGATCTATTAAAATATGCGAAAATCTAGTTTAAAGAATCGGCCTAAAGGGAGAATACGTTATTTGGTTTCTGGCTTTTGCGTTATCGAAACATAATTTGCGTAAGCTAATACCTGGGAAGGCTTGCCCTTGAAATCTTTGATGATGTCCTCCGGCTGCACGTCCTTAATTTTGTTTTTCTTTATAGCATCTGCGAGAACGCGCTCGGCCTCCTGGTACTTGGAGGTCGCCAGCAGCCATCGAGGAGATTCCGACATAAACCTGAAATAAATCAGGTGAATCAAGCCGCCATATTAAATGCATTGTTAAAAACAACTTGTTATATTAGTCTGTAAAATATCTTTGCGAGTTTCTGGGCAGGCTTATATTATCCTGTATACAAAACTGACACATGGCGCAGAAAATAGAAAAAAACTACACCCACCCACTTGCTTATTTGCGTGTCTTAAAATAGATGGCGTGCTCGCCATATCAGCAATCCAATTAATTATGTGCGTTGTTTTGGTTTGCGAAGAGAGACACCTATTTCTGAATAAACCCCTCTTACATTATTATTTGGATAAGTACCTACTTAAGAAATAGATCCCAATTCGTTGATGTTAACGGCCATGTTTCAAACGTTCTATCTGTCACTTCCGGTGTGCCCCAAGGAAGTGTGTTGGGACCATTACTATTTCTTATTTATATAAATGATCTAACCGAAGTGGTTTCTTCGTCTGTTTCCATGAGATTGTTTGCGGATGACTGCATTGTTTTTAATGACATCAACACTGCTGACGACAATCTTGCGCTTCAAGAATCTATTATCGAGATAGAGCACTGGTGTGAAGCTTGGTATATGGATTTGAATATTGAAAAAACTGTGCTTCTAAAAGTTACACGAAAAGAACATATAAGCTCATTTGAGTATCAGCTTCACAACATTGCCATTCTTGAGGTCACTAGCTATAAATATCTAGGTGTTACCATTACTAATCGTTTAATTTGGTCTACACACATCTCAAATATTTGCTCTAAAGCTTTCGCTAAACTGTGTTTTCTAAGGCGAAAGCTCAAACACATTCCCAGTAGTGTTAAGCTCCTCGCATACAATACGTTCATCAGGTCAAAACTCGAATATGCATCAGTCATTTGGGATCCCCACAATAAAAAAGATATCCACCAGCTTGAACTTGTACAAAGAAAGGCAGTTAGGTTTATATTCAGTAAATACAATAGATTGGACTCGCCCACGGAACTTATGAGGGATAACCAAATACCACCTCTCGATACACATCGGAAAATGACTCGTATTTTATTTCTTTACAACATCCTGACATCCAGAGTAAGCTTAAATACACTCCCATATCTCAATCAACTAACTTCAAGAAAAACACGACACAATAGGGATCACGCACTACAGCCCATCTTCGCAAATGCCTTTAAGCACAGTTTTTTTCCGCGCACTATTTCGGACTGGAACTTGCTACCAGAAACCATTATTCAGTCAACCAATTTCATTCAGGAATTAGAACGGTACCTATTTCGATAATGCATTCCGCAGCAGTGGTCTTGTCTTCCTTTGTATTATTGTTTTTGTCATTTTTTCATGTGCACCCATATGTTGCACTTTTTGCCCCTCCTGGTTGGGCCAGAGAACTGGCCTGCAGTATTGTAAAATAAATAAATAAATAAATAAATAAATGTTACCACACGAGGCGATGTGGGCAAATCTGCATTGCGAAAAAGTTTCGCTTCTCGTGGGCCTCATGGGACAATGACTTAGGCATGAGCTCCCGATATAATTGAACTAAATTTTCTAACGTATTTCTTTTTAAACGTTCACGGTTCATTTAAGAGAAATGATCTGGTTCATCAGCGTAAATTGAATGAAAAAAGTACAATCACCCTCCGCTGTCAAGAAGGTGAGGTCTTATATGGGGTGTCTTTAAGGCTTAACATGTTAATTTAAAAATGCCATGAAAGCCACTAATGCGATCTGTACAGAAGCGCCATACGGCCCCGGGAACATATTAAAAATAATAATCGTCATGGTTTGTCTATTATATAACTAAGATTCGTTGGCTATTTTTGTAATTAGTGCGGATGAAGATATAGTTCTAAGCAAAAACCAAATGAGTGCCTTTGAAAGCCACTAAATAAGTAATTGTATAAACATTTGAAGCGCGTCGGAAGAGCGGTGGTGCGCTAAAGTTGCCTCTTGTGCAACAGGCGCAAGGCTATTGTAGCAAAAACACACCCGCAAAGTTGTTGTTTTGGATTTTGTCTCTATCATTCGAGATTTCGCATCGCCAGCTTTGCGTTCGTTGCACGAGTCGTAACATTAGCGCAATACCGCGCTTCCATGGCGCCCCGATTCTTTCTCAAATGCACACATCTAGTAGGTTTCGACGACACACAGCACGTTAATAGTTAATATAATAAGTTCATTTTCAATCATATTACGTTGATGAACAAATTTTAGTTGGTTATTCGACTTATCGGGATGATTAATTCTCTATATTGTATCCCCCTTGTCTTACACCTAAACAGCACAGTCCGCATTAGTTTAGATTTCACTTCCTTTTTTTAAACAAATTCGTAAAGCCATAAAAACACCACCCTGTGCATCATTGGCTTATTGCATCAAAATAATCATAAAATAGAAATTTTTGTGTAAATATTTCACAAACCTTTGGGAGAGTTGTATTTTATTAAAATTAAGGACCACGTTTGTTTGTTTGTTTGTTTGTTTGTTTGTTTCGCCTTTTGTTTGGGGGGGGGGGGCTCCGTCGATATTACTGAACTCTGATATTCGATCCTGTCAGAACACGCAGTCGGGGTTAATTTTACATATGAGTCTAAACGCCCGCTGGACCAATTATGTCTGCATATTGGTTGTATGTGTGGCTGGGTTGGTGAATGGATTTTCATTAATTGCTCTCATGTTCGCCTAAATTTATCTGATTTTCAGCGGATAGTCTGAGTTTCTTTGGTAGAAAAAATGAAAGCCGTTTACAACTCCCTGTAACGCCGAATTAGAGCGCAGCTTTTGAGGAGGAGGAAGGAAGGGTACTGAGGTTCACGTGTTTTCAGGAGGGGTGGTCACGTGACCTTGGTGGGGTCACATGACCTCCTCCCCAAGGTCACGTGGGGGTCACGTGACCTGGGGGTGTCACGTGACCCCCGTTGTCACGTGACACGTGACACGTGACCTCGGGGGGTCACGTGACCCCCAGAAAATTTTTTTCCGCCCGCTAACTTTAGCGGGGAAATTTTTTTCCGCTAGATTTAGCGGGTAAATTTTTCCGCTAGCTATAGCGGGGAAATTTTTTCCGCTAGATTTAGCAGGGAAATTTTTCCGCTAGAATTAGCGGGAAATTTTTCCGCTAGATTTAGTGGGGGAATTTTTCAGCTAAATTTAGCGGAGAAATTTTTCCGCTAGATTTAGCGGGGAAATTTTTCCGCTAAATTTAGCGGGGAAGAATTTTCCGCAAATCTAGCGGGGAAATTTTTCCACTAAATTTAGCGGGGAAATTTTCCCGCTAGATTTAGCGGGGAACTTTACCCATAATGCACCGCGCGGTTACTCTGACGGCGAAGGCGACGCTGACGGCGACGCCGACGCCGCTCAAGCCGGGAACGGGCGCTTAAGAGCTGCGCTCTAAAACGAAGATAATATTTATTCTAACCTCATTACATACGGCACTTAGTAGCTTCATGTATTAATCGGATTATTAACAACAGAGTGATTAATTATATAAGAATAAGCATTTATCAATATTTTAGGGGCATTTTACCGATCAAGTGCAGTCGAGAACCCCTATGGTCACATGCCAAAGTCGCCTTCGGTAAAGGGCAATACTCACTAAGTGTGCTAACTTCGTACTCTTATAGAACACAGAAGTACACTTCACATGTATTTTTCCATAATATAAATACCCTAATGTAATTTTAGTGTAATTCGTAATTTAGTGGTGCGGTTCGCGCGTCGTCCCAGTCCGTCGAATAAGTGAGCCTACAAAAAGTAAAGGTTTATTATATTTTTAGTAAACTAAAATATACTTAAAGTTGTTTTAAACGGTGTTTTATCAAAAAAAAAGCTGCAAAAAGTAGTATGCATTAAGCGTATTGCATTTCGACGACGGCGCAGTCCAAGGGTAACGCCTGCGTGCACGGTGCCTCGTGGAAACGACCGAAGCGTTAGAGCGTATCGGTTCTCTCAGCTGATGCATCAACGCACGATAGCTCGAGGGACCCCTCTACGACGTTCTATCGTAGGTACGTAGCATGCTTGCCTAGCCTAGACCTTGGGCCACCCCTGAGAAGGTGCTCCAGTCCGGTTGTAGCGAGATCACTTGTTTCGAAATAAGCGCAGCTGACGATCGGATGGATCTAACCAAGCTGGTCCAAACAAATGTCATGGCGCTCGTCATCTTCGTGCGTTTCCTATCACCGGCTAGATTAATCACGCACGGGAAAAATGTCTAGGCTCAGGGTGCATTCATCACGTGTGATTGGTTTGGCTGTTGGTAGCAAACGCGCTAAAGACGACGAACGTGGCGACTATGCACCCATTTGCCCCAAAAGGTGCAAAGAAGCACAAATCTACGCTGCATTGGATCGTAGCGTGGGCTTCTCTCAGACTTAATGTGAAACGAGCGTAACTTAGTTTAGTACTTTCACTGAGTACCTCTGACTCCCAGAATATAGTAGAGCAGCCTTGTCGTGGAAATTCATTTGTCTCTACAGGCAATGATAGGTCTAAGAAACCACGCAGGGCGTGGTTTCTTAGAGAGTTTTTAGTGATGCGTATGGCAGAGCGCAAGTTCGTCTACTTCTTTTGCAGGGGTTGTGATGACGTCAGGGCTCCATGCTCTGACTGGCTCTGATTGAAGGATAGTGGGTATAACTCAAGGCAGCTTGCTTTGAGGTCTACCCGCTATCCTTCGATCAGAGCCTATCACAGCCAATCAGTCAGTTCTGACGTCAAAACAACCCCTGCAAAAAAAAGCGGACAAACTTGCGCTCCGCATAGGAGCAAATGCGAGCGCTGTACGTTTGCGTTAGCGTTGCGTGCTCTACGCTGCGCATGTGAGTCGGCGCCATTCGCCAATCCAAGGAGGCGGTTTGGGGCTCCGAGCACGCTCAGTGTGAAACGTGCGTAAATGCTATAGAGCAAACGCGCCGTGCTTGCGCTATTTGTTCCTACGCGGGGATCGGTGACCGAGTGGGCTAGCGCACGCCATTTCGGAGCACGTGGAGCGAAAGGTCGCGCTGCAGAATTCAGGGATCCTGGGTTCATTCTCCACCTTTGCCCGTTTCTATCTGGATGAGCATCGTACCGGCGTGCTGTCGTGTATCACTACTGCGTGGTGCACGTTAAAGACCCCAGGCTAGCAGTTGTACTGCACTGGCTAAATTTCTCAACTACAGCAAGTGACTCGTCGCAACTTTGAAATGGCTGACCAACTACACATTTTCTAAATATCGACACAACCCCAATTACGTTCCTATACGCGATACCAAAACTCACTATTATGGTCACGCTTCTGGCTTTGCGATTTCTTTTTCGGCGTCCTTATCGAAAAAAGTGCAATCTCACTAACTTCGGGGTGACCATCGTGACTTTTAGTATGCGCCAAGAAAGTGAGAGATAGAAGGAGACGGAGGGCGCTTGGAGTCGTCAGAACGCCGAACTCTGGTTGAAATGATTAGTGGCTAGACCTAAAGCTAGCAGCGTCCTTTAACTCCTCTGCACTCGTCGAACACCTTGGAACGCGGTGTGCAGGCGTCCGGCGTTTTGCTTTTTGCATTCGTACGCGTTCGACGACTGCAGTGGCGACAAAGGCAGCTAGCCTTAGGTCTACCCACTAATCATTCAAATCAGAGCTCGGCGTTCCGACGTCCCCACGTGTTCTCGTCTCCTCCTCTCTCTCACTTTTTCTCCACATTGCGTGTACGAGTGAATGCGAGCGCGTGCGAAGTCCAACAACTGCGGTCTTTGATTGGCGCACGGCGACGACGCGCATGCGTAGAATGGAGCACGCAACGCTAATGCAAACGCAGGGCGCGTGCGTTTACTTGAATACTAAACTCGCTAATATTTAGCTCGGAACTGTCCACGCCTAACGCTTTTTAGGCTGCCATTGACTATAGTACAAAGCACGCAATTCCCGGTTTGGAGAAGGTCAAAGATCTACCGCCGAGAAAATTCTCGGGGCAGGGGGCTTTGCATATCAACTCGCGCTGAATGTGTACATGAATCATCCTCTTTTTCACTGATATTTGGTTTTTTGCAAGCATTTCATCATTCACCTTTCTTAAAATTTGATGCTACTCGTATGTACGATCTTAAGAATGGCCCTCCATGTCACTTTTAAACATGTACTTAAACACATATTACGTTCAAGCATGTACGTAAACAATGCGTTGTCATAACCCGAAACGCCATCCACTGACACTCTCCCACAAGTCCTCTTTGAATCATTTTCACCATTTGTTTTTGTTTCTTCCTGCACAATGCCATCTCATCATCGATAAGTATAAACTACATGTAAGCGATTTGGCGAGCGACGAGGTCCTGCTGTCGCACGATCGGCCGCGTGACGATGCAAACCACGTGAAAGCGACGGGAGCAAGGGACCAAGGCGATGACCGACGTTTTCTAGAATGACGAGGGACAATGATGCGGGACAATGAGAAATCTCCGTCACTCGTCCCTGATTCGAGTCCCTTTTCGCCGTCGCTCGTTTCGTCGCTCGCCACTCGCTAACATGCGGTTCAGCCTTCATTCGCTGCGGCGCAGTACTTCATTGTGTTAGCAAGATGGTTTTCTGCGGCGCTGCCTTTCTCCTGAACCAAAATAAATATGACTGACTATAACCTCAAATTCGTGTTGAGATTTGGAGACAATGACTTTAATCACTGGAAACGTCATAACGGTAGGACGTTCTAAGCCGCGATTACATTCTTATCAGTGGTCGTGATATGAGAGCACGGCATCGCGCGTTGATAACAATGCTTACATAATTGGCTAAATGTTTTAAGCTGTCATTTAGAATATCAAGGCAAAACGCAGGTTGATTCCAGCTTGCACCAAACTATTAAACATTTTTTTAATAAAGGGAATGGCAGCACATTTTATATATTTCACTTACCCAGGTTCGTAAAAAAATTAACTTTCTGGAAAATCAGGCGTAATGTATAACATAGTAGCTTAAATGGCAGGTATTCTATTCTAGTATCACAAAAAAAAAAAGAGCACAGCGATAACATATTCAAAAAACGTCAAGACTTTTTACAGTAAACTGCCCCACTATTTAGCTTAGGTATACTAGTGATTAATTCGGGTAATAAGCGAGTCATAGAGGGAACAAAACAGGTTTTGCCTCCTATCTGCTAACGTTTTTCTTCTGTGATGGAATTGCAAGATGCTACATTCGAATGGTAGTTTGGACTACCTGTTTCTCATGAGCACTTGGCTTTTCGACCAACTCCCCACCAGCGGCGATGGACTTCCGTTCCCGGTGCACTAGTCTCTGCATGCCGTCGCAGGAGAATGAAGGCGGCTGTTCACGAGACAAACTTTGTCCTGGAGCAGCTGCAGTTCCAAGAAGTTTTACCTCCCCACCTTAAAACCCGAACCCCGCGCCATCCGACTTCTGGCTGTGTTCCAATATGAAGGAGCACTGAAGGCTACACGGTTTTCGTCCAACGACGAGGTTACCGATGAAATGCTCCGTTGATGTCGTCAACAGCTGCGTTCGTACTTCTACGACAGCATGCAGATATTAGTGCAGAAGTAGCTGAAGTGAATCACTGCTGTTTGAGACTATATTGAAAAGTGATGCTCTCCTGGAAACAATGAAATTCCAAACTCTCATTTGAACGTAAGGCATTTCGATTCCATCAAATATTAAAAAAGTTTCAACCTAGGAGGCAAAACTTAATGACCATCCCTATAATGCAACCGTCGGTGTCCTGTCAAAAACGGAGCATAATGTATAACCATAGGAATATGACGGCAATTGAATTTTTATAGTTTGTTTATTTTTTCCGCCTTGGTCAGAAACAAACTTATTGTATAATATATTTTTTTACTTAAAACATGAGCCGATTCGACTACGTATGAAATAGATAACGCTGATACGTCTACATCGCTTCTGCGTGTCTGGTTGTCTTTTTTAACCGATACATATGTCTAATATACTTCTTTGTATAATGTTCTACCGTTTTCCTGAAACAAAGCAATTCGTAACAAAAGTGAACTACGACATTTGGGGGGCATTATCTTTTCACTGAGTTATACGAATGCAAATATCCGCAAGCACGGCTAAGACACATCCGATCCTGAGTGCAACTCAAAATAAAGAAAGACCGAAACAACAAATGCACTTCAAGGAAAAAAATAAAACTACGCAAAAATAAATTGACATAGGGTATTGCACAACTATTTGCATCATGGCAGATATTCACACAATCTAAATTGAACATTAATTAGAGGAATCCTTATCGCCGTTTTTCTTTTAACTTTAATCGGGGTATAAACTGATAATTTACAATATCTATCAAACAACAATGCCGGAGGTGATTTCTTGGGTACGAAGCGCGTGATTGAATGTGAGTCTTTACCGAACGCTGACTCAGCACTCCTGTTTCATACATGCTCAGAGTCTTTGCCGAAGAATGGACGATTCTGCGAATTGACACATCAGCTACTAGTTGGCGTGAGGTTATAAAAAGCGTCTATACAGGCTTTAAGATTACAGTACAGGACATTATATATTTAACTTACGAGATACACTAATTTCTACGGTGTAAATGGGTGAAGTACCAATAGCATTAAATATAACGATGTTTATAAGGTAAGTTAAAATTACGTTATGCAACACATACACGCAAACTCAAGCACAGGGGGATCTTTAACTCACATCCAGTTCAAAGCGAGTAGCAGGTACGCGAGCGATATGACCAGCTGCATGTGAAACCAGTCACGGATGAACCAGGCCAGTGCCACGAGCGTCAGAAGCCCAGTGGTCCAGCCACCGCTCGAGATGAGCGAACCCAGGGCGCGGTGCCGAGCAGACAAGACCTCCATTACTGAAAGAAACCGAGAAAGCTCTAATCACTCTACCCACGGTCCAGCTTGAAGATTTCTGTTCCACGCGTGTGTCCGAACATAGCCTCAAATACATTTCTTTTAGTATATCGTGGTACCCGTTTTATATAGGCTGCTTTAGTTTGCCTCGTACTTTGTTTCCTTGACTTTCGTTTTATTTTATATAAGTTAAATTTGCAAATTATTATCCCTCTGCAATAAGAAAGGCAGTAAAATTCTCCCATTGTCATATACAATATTAAACGCAGAAAGGTTGACCAAAATGAAGTTTTTTTTGTTGCTTTACCCGTCATATTCGAGCATTTAAGTCAATTCAGCATATGTTTAATATAAAAAAATTGTGTTATACTTCGATAATCGAAAATTTAGTTTTAGAATAATAAAGCACATTTATAAAACTATTAGCTAAGTTCGCTTATCGCTACGACTTTGAATTTTTTTGGCACACATATGTAGTTGCTATATTATAAGAAATGTTTGATTTTCAAACAGGGTCTAAATAAGACTGCCCTTACTCGCTGCTAGCCATAAATAAAAATATTTTATTAATGCTGGTCGCGTTCTAAATGTTAGCACTCAGGAGTCAGATCAAAAGGGGTCTAATGTGCAGTATTTTATGTGCTTTGCGAGAAGGCAAGCTTTTAAGAACTCAGAAGACAACTCGGGGGCCCAATGTAATCCCACCGGGGGCCCAATGTAATCCCACCGGGGGCCGCGTAACCAACCCGAGACCACCTAGGCACCAACCCGCATGTTACAGGCTTGTGAATGTAGTGTCTCATTGAGTAGATCGAGATTCGTCGAATCAAATCATACTTGTTAGGCAGAACCAGAAACCGGCTTGATTGGCAAGTAACAAACAGCAGGCAAAATATCTCAGGTATTTCTTTACCGAGAAGAAGCACTGAACATTTACGACTATAAAATACAAATTTGGCCTAGACGTTACTTCGTTGTTGTTGTTTTTTGTGTTTTTTTATAAGGGGGGTAGGACACACTGTTATTTTTCCGTTGTAATAAAAAGGTAGTAATTACAAGGTCATAAATATCAGGCATTAAAACACAAAGTGCGGAACTGCCTTTGAAGCCACCTTTTGCAGGCTAAATTTCAAATCTGCAGGGTTTGTTTGTACTACAATAGCTTATATCTCGTTGCAAAACCCAATATGCCCACGAGAGAAAAATAAATTAAGATAAATCATGTTTTGCGCGCTGTGTCATATTTAGCAAGGGTGCTTTCCAGCTTTAAAAAAATTCAAACAGATTCGTAACACGAAAACGGAGAAAAGTGAGAAATTCCGAAAGTACAAATTTGTAAGCAAAAAGGTTTCTACTAGTGGGTCTGCCAACCCCTTTTTTATATTTAAATATTTTATTAGATATTAATATGTACCCGTTTTTATGAACGCATCTCATATGTAGCTCATTCTGAACAATTCAAATTATAATGAAAACACAAGGAATAGTAATTCATTACCAAATGTAAATGTCGTATTCTGGATTCCTCCGATTCCCAAAGAGGAAATAAACCTCCCAATGTTTAGCATCAAAAAGCTCGACGAGAAAGCTGTCATGACACCAGCAACGATGGGAACAGGCACCATGAACGCCAATGCCCGCTTTCTTCCGTACCTGCAAATGAAAAAAGAAAACGAAGTCATCCTGATGAATTACTTCAAAGTATTTGCGCTTCGATCGTCCCAATGACCTTATTAATAGTGGTATGCAGGCAACTAACAAATGGACACAATGAAATAACTTTGATTGATCAGTGGTTTCGGGTTGTTGGTCAAAATGCTTGATACAATGCTACAGCGATATTGATAAAATGTATGATTGAAGTACCCATAAATCGAATTTTTTGCAAACTTTTACCCCTGACAACTAAAAAAAGAAAGGGGCTTGCTTCTTTGAAATTGGCTTGACATGGCTCCCATCGGGTGTTACTTGGATCTCGCCCGATATATAAGATGACCGAGGAGATGCCCGAGCGTCTGGATTCGGGTATATAGCTCGGAGTTAATCACTGCTATCCAATGAGTGCGATTTCTCCGATGTGACAAAATGAACGGTGTTTTCAAATATACAGTTTTTTTACTGCCCTGTCGCAGTCTTTGTTTTGAGGTCTAGTCATTCGCCAAGCTGCTTCCGTTGATTGCAGTGCTCTTCGAGAAAGTAGGCACACCTGCATTTTCAGAGTTAAGTTCGAGTGAGAACGAGCTGAACGATACTTCCAGTCAAAAGTGTGGAGGATGAAGAAGTAGGCGCGTAAGGGGGCTCAGGCGAAGGAAAAGCGCCATCACGGGCGGGCGAGACATAACGACCAAGTAGTCGGTGATCGAGCGCGCAGGCAGAGAACGTACAAGGCGGAGCAGCGGAGTTGAGGCCGCACAGGCACCGCCTCGCTCGCAAAAGCAAGGCGGACCGGAGGTCGGAAAACCGCAGCCAGTCATACCCCTCTACCCGGGCCCCGAGCGGGCATAGAACCACCTAAGTACTACCAAATATTATCTGATGGTAGCGTTTGTTGCGTGTGGTTTTCTCGGGGGTGAACGGAGCTAAGCATGATCAGGCAATATCAACGAACGACACACAGAACGAGCCTGTCATTCTCAAGCTGTCTGAGTTTGTCTAATCTCAAGTGTTCAATTAAGTCTAGGATTTTGTTATTTTCATGATTTACAAGAAATAATGAACGAAATTGAGAAATGGCAACGGGAATTTCTGATGTAACGTTTCGCTTCCATACTAGTCGTATCCCGAAATAAACAGGTAATTGCCATTTTAGTCGCTAAAAAATGCTTTACTGTCATAAGCACATCAATTCGCCTATATAAGAACTATTTTAAAGAAAGCACGGCGCCTTCAAATAGAATTTTTGTTTAATCGTTCTAAACGTTCCTCGAATCATAAAGAATGAGTGCATGATTAGGTTGTCTTAAGTGTGGAGAACGGTGATAATGCGTTGCAGTTCTCTCACACAAAACGACCTTACATAGTTAAATACACTGACCTTCATCGATGATACGCGGAAAATTGGATTCAAATCTGTCTAATATTGCCTAATTACAATTCAATTTGTACATCTGCCTAGGCAGTTAAAAGTTTTTTTGTTTTTTTTACATTGAACGATAGAGCTGAATGATATTTTCTCACCAATCTGAGAGATGAGCGTAGAAGAAGTTTCCAACCATGAGTCCCACCATGTACACACTTTGGGAAGCGGCTCGCAGCCAGATGCGATCACACACCAAGTCAAACTGCAGAAACATAAGCAAAGAATTGTGATGGCAAAGTAAAACCAGGAAGGGTTTGGGCGGTCTTGTGTGCCACAGTAGGGACCCTCTATAATTTGACTTATGTTGTTGTTGATGTTGTTTTCTTAAATTTCGAATCAACACAATAAAGATTGAATAATATAAAAAAAATATGTGGGACACTATTGTTCAGATCTTTGTGATAGGCCAAGAGGAACATGGTAAACATGGTGGCGGGAAAAAATGAATTATTTTATTTGAGCTGGAAGCACCTAGTGAGGCCGCCTTTTTTAACTCTTAAAATACGTAGTCACTGACATCCTAAGAAGCGCAGGGTGAGTTGTGACATTAAGCAATGCAAGCGTGACGTTTTGCATTGCTTAATGTCACAACTCAGACTGCGCTTTTTTTGGTCTAAACATATGTTTCGGCATCTTTATTCGCTCAGCTGCCTCCGTAAGTTGCGCTGATTGGCTCTCCGAGTGTTGTGCGTGAAAGTGGACGCACAGACTTTTTTAGAGTGTGGCAAGTCGCAAGCACGTTATTACTATTTTGCGATCAATAGAACCGCGGCTTTAGCCAATTAGAACGCCGAAGAACGGATGACAAAGCAAGAAGTGTGAAAAATAAAGAAAACATTTGGTATGTTGAGCTGTCGGTAGTTATAGAACCAAGTTGTGTGTGCCAGTGAGTAATGCTCTGATAAGGTAACAAACCTGATTGGTGAGTGTGTTGGTGTGGGTTCCTCTGTCGTACTCCCAATTCGAGCAGCGAACTCTAGAATCGTTGCGAATGAGGATACTGCCATTCAGCAGTTCCTCAAAAGCAAACATCTCGCACCGGCTTGTTGTCACTTCTCCGCTATCTGAAAGAAAAAAACAAGAAACAAGAATTGAGAAGTACGCTGGGCAATGCGCATCACAGAATGGATCATCCCTTAATGTGATAAGCATTGATAGGTTGCAGCGATTGGCTGCAGATCGTTTCAACCTACGGAGAGTAAACGTCAATGACGAACCTGAAAATATATTTGGACATCTAGAAATAGTCGGTTTCCCAGGATATTCCGACAACCAGACTACTTCAACATGCTTTGAACAATTGGTTTGGTGGATTTTGTTTCGCCGAATCATAGGCGATGGTTTACCTAACCTGCTCTTTGAGCCTCGCATTAACAGTCGTATTGGTACACGTGTCCCGATGGGATGTGATGCGTGTAGTCGCCTTTTGCAGCTCGCTTCCCTCTCAATTAACAAAGACAATACCTCGTGGGAGAGACGGCACCCAGGATCGCTTGTATATTATCACCCGAATATTCGTGTAAGAATGTATAAGTGTGTTTTTGTTATTTTCGTCACTTTTGTTTGTAACCACCCGGTTGGTGACAGGGTAACGTGGAGTGCATGAGCGCAATGCCCATCTCTACACAACTGCACACCGAGTGGCTCTGGGATATAATTATTATAAATAATAGCAATCTCACTGCACTGCGGAACTGAGCATTACAGAGGACGTAAAAAGCTATCCACTGTGTCACAACGTAGGCTGTCTTTACGAATAAAACGTATAGGCAAAACTAGATGGTTTAAAATGACCATAGTTACAAAAAAAAGAAAAAAACAGATTAGGGCAGACAAAGAAGAAAGCACAACAGCGAAGGCTCGAGCACAATTCACAATTTATTCGATATTTAGCCTATTATCGATAATTTGGAAACAATGTAGTTGCCTTGTGTTTGTTAAAGGAAGGACAAAAAAACGAATCAAAACTAGTGGAAAGTGTCGTATTTGCTTTTTTAACATCTTGCACAACCTTACAGGATCGGCAAGTAAGTTTGGTGAGAAAGCTGGTTTTCGCCCTTACTTTAGGCACAGTCTGTTGGCCACATTTCTGACACCTAATGTTGCTTGCGCTAACAAAAGAGAGAGAAGGACGTGGATTTTGTATCGGGAGGTATACACGGGAGGTGAGACAACAGCACCGCCGCCTTCTAATGGAAAAAAAAAAATATGTCCAACGTTTGCTTGCATTTGCGACAAATGCCGCAAGTTGGCACAGCACGTTTAGAATTATATCATATCTTCGGAAGTCACTCGAGGAGAACTCGTTATTCGCACGCAAGTTTTCAAAACCATGCCGTGTCTATACTCCGTTTCCCCTTACGTGCGGACGCAGCGGACGCTACGAGCTATCCCAGCGGATCCCGCTCTGTGAACGCAGCCCGTGAAACACTTTCCGTGCGTGTAGGAATGCTTTCGCACTCCTACAAGTAAGCAGTCTGAAGTGCCTCTGCCGAAATTTTATTAAACTGTATGTACAAAGAACCTCATATTATTGGAATAGAAGTACATGAACTGTTTGTCTGCCGGCGCACGAGCTGCCATTTTGTGGTCTATTTTCGTAAAATAACTCGGTATAGAATGAATGTGCCAAAAATCTGAACCCCACAATGTGGTTAATTCGGCCAGTTGGTTGTCCTTGCATTTTAAAAGCGCCCAAATTCTGAATACAGAATTACAGGACGCTGTGTTGTTATGGAGCTTGTCTCCACACCGTCAATTTTCACGCTTTTATGATTTTAATTACATCTCAATTACTCTACATATCCGATATCGGTTCCTCCATGTATGACAACGCAAGTCATGATTTTCAGAAATAGCCGGTTTAAAATATCTTAGTCTAAACGGAGCATGGGCGTGGCCCAAGTATAATCGCTATCACTTCCTTGAGCAGCGAGACTTTAGTCTGACACTTCAGGAAGCGCAGGGCTTTACAATTCGCGGTCATTTTATTATCGCTCCATAGGTATTAAGAGTGAAACAGTGACCGATAAGAAGGGCCAAGAGCCCACCACGAAGCCAGAAGCGCCAACATCTAAATTAAGAATGCCTAATAAACGACCTGCGTTGAGAAAGAGGAGTAGACGAGAGGCTCGCGGGGTCTTCAGAACGGCGAGCTCTGGTTGGAATGATTAGGGGGTAGACCTCAAGCTAGCTGCATTTGTGTTCACTGCACTCGTCGAGCGCGTTGGAACGCGGAACGCTGGATTCTGGCGTTTCGCTAACTAACATAACAAACAAACGAAAATTCCTGTTCTTTGTCCTATCTTTCTAAACATTTTGTTTTTTTGCTTGTTGTGTTGGTTAGTGACGATCTTGGTTTCAAAGTTTATATAAGAGGTTTAGTGAATAAACTTATTAGCTGAGTTTGAGACGTCGTCTGAGTCACTTAATTCCCTGTCTCATCTACTTTTGGCTGTTTCAAGGTTTTTTCACACCCAGTCTCTGGTGTTTTAACATAATGGCACTGAACCTGACACCTTACGTTGTTATGTCATGCTCAATGTTACTGCCCCGTCTCTTAATGTTGTCGTCGTTGTTATTCTTTTTTCAATGAATAATTTTAGCAACGTCATTCGCGGAGCTCCCTCCGCAGAACGCAGAGATTGCCTGTTTCAAGTGTTTTGCGGGAAAGTAGGGTTACCGATAGTTTTTACAGTGCACGGCTCTCTTTTCATACCGCCTAATTATCGAACCCATATTCTAGTATAAAATTTGCAAAGGGTACACCATACATCAAGACGTATGGATCTATCGCAAATACAGGGCTAGATCGTGCGTTTCTAATCTATGTCTAAGAAAGAAATAACCTTTATTTATTGTTATAAATGAACACCGGAATGTTTTTCGTTTTTGTTCTTTGTTGTGATGCATACTAGAAAGCGCACTTTACCAATCAGTGAAAATGCCACATTTGGACAAATAACTTTTCTTTCAAGAAAGCAATTTTAAATTTACCTTCGTGAGCTGTGCTTTGAAATCAAGCGCGCCAAATGCACGGAGTGATCGTTTTACATACTGACTTGTACAGTACTCATTACGAGTAATCAAATTACATAATTTCGATTACATGTTACAGCATTTTTTTATTGTGGTTGCTTAGAGATGGGTATCACAAGTGCATGCTGAATACTTTTAATATAATACAGGGTGGTTTCATTTGAAATCGAACACGCTTGTCGGGCTGGGTCTTTTGATTTTTTTTTTTAAATATATGTAATTGCCCCATTTCCGGAAAAAACAAAACCGCTTTCCAAAATTTTTTAAAAACATATTTCGCTTCACAAAAATTATTGGGTGGAGCAGGGTGAAAATCTGTTTTTTACTCTGCGATTTTTCTACCCAGTTCTGTACGCTGGTATGAATACGGGAAGCATGCAAAACTCACAGTAATTTTTTGATCTCTTGTATGTTATTTGGAGTATTTTTTAGTTTAAAGAAAAAATACTTTTGTAGTTTTGTTTATTGAGGTAAAAAATGCCGAACATCGTCTCTTTGACAATCCGGTGACATCTTCAGAGCCCTGTAACTTATGAGTTATTATATTTGTCGCTTAACAAATACTATCCGGGTGTAGCCCTATACATGGAATTTCGACGGGTATAAGTTTAGTTTATGTTATTTTCACTGAATTTTTTATATAAAATTTGAAATATCGTCGAAAATGAAATTAATTGATATTTTGAACCCACTTTATCCAAAAAGGCGATTTATTATTTCGTTCAATTTTTTTTATTATTGCTGCCGATCAAATTAACTTTCAATTGGCTTGATGCGATTTCCCCCTTTTCTTGTTTTATCTTCTAAAGAAGTGATCGAAATCGCTCCCACGTTCTCAGAACGGCCAAGCGCAGTTTCCGCAGGTCGCCTTCGCTGCAAAAACTATACTGCTTATTTGTGTGTTCAAATGCAGCGGGTAAATTAATTTCGATTGAGAACACTTGTGCTTGGCTACATTGTATTTTATTAATTTTTAATGATGGCAACTGACATTCCTTAGTCTGATATTTAGCGGTGCAGCGGATGTTCCATTATTCGACGTTTAAAGCCAGGGCACAAAGGGCGGAGAAAACGAAACGAGCTCTTCATGTAGCCAGACCGGGATCATATACCTGTACAATCTTTGCATTAAGCTCGGTGCGACAAAGTGGAGAAACTAAAAGTCTACAGAGACTTTGAGTGACTGCTTTCGCTGCCTTCTGTGCATGTGGGAATCCCTGCTTCTTGGCATCAGAGATATCGATCAGTCTTGAACAAAACCCAACACTTTTATTTTTAACTTCACACACTCGTTCAAACAGAAGGGCCACCGTCTCAAGTTCTTGCTTCGGCTCCAGTTTTCGTTCTGTCCGTCTCGACTTACCACGCTGTTGAACTTCTCGGGTGCATCCTACCGACCGCTGCGGTGCAAAGTTCAGCTCGCCCCCGCACTCGATCGTCTCCACAGGCAAGCCGATGCCGTTGTCAAAAAGTTCCAATATTGCGTTGCTCGTGAACTGGACTCTTTAAAGCACAACAACATATTGTTTTACAAGTGCATCCTAAATATATTAGCGTTAATTAATAAAAGTGACTATTTATCGCCAATTGGTGTTTGTGTTCTGTAAAAAATTGTCTTCGCTTAATGTAAACTCAGTCCGTTTTCCTCACTTTTTTTTGCAAACTGCTTTTCCTTCTTAAAGAAGGGCATGTGATATTACATATTTTTTCTATACACGCTGACAATAAAGAACAGGCGATTACATGGTTATTTGATCGCACGCGACAAGACACATCATTGACTGGCGCCCGTGCCGGATGCTTCCTGGGTGTAACGAAGATGGGCCTATAGCGCGAAGGGCCGGGCGTGCTGTACGTTTCTTACAAGCTGTGTATAGCACAAACAGATATATGACCCCGGTCTGGCTACATGAAGAGCTCGTTCCGTTTTCTCCGTACTTTGTGCCCTGGCTCTAAACATCGGATAATGGAACATCGATCCGCTGCACCGCTAAATATCAGACTAAGGAATGTCAGTTGCCATCATTAAAAACTAATAAAATACAATGTAGCCAAGCACGAGTGTTTTCAATCAAAATGCATTTAACCTCTGCATTTGAACACACAAATAAGCAGTATAGTCTTTGCAGCGAAGGCGACCTGCAGAAACTGCGTTTGGCTGTTCTGAGAACGTGGGAGCGATATCGATCACTTCTACAGAATATACAACAAAAAAGCGGGAAATCGCATCAAGCAAATTGAAATTTTATATTATCAGCAGCAATAATAAAAAAAATTGAACGAAATAATAAATGGCCTTTTACGATAAAGTGGGTTCAAAATAGCAATTAATTTCATTTTCGACGATATTTCAAATTTTATACAAAAAATTCAATGAAAAATAACATAAATTAAACTTATACCCGTCGATATTCCATGTATAGGGCTACACCCGCATAGTATTTGGTAAGCGAGAAATATAATAACTCATGAGTTACAAGGCTCCGAAGTTGTCACCGCATTGTCACGTGGCAGCAATTTCTATCACTTCTAGAGAAGATACAACAAAAAGGGGGAAATCGCATCATGCCAATTAAAAGTTCATATGATCGGCAGCAATAATAATAAAATTGCACGAAATAAAAAATGTCCTTTTTTGATAAAGTGCGTTAAAAATATCGGTTAAATTCATTTTCGACGATATTTCAAATTTTATATAAAAAATTCAGTGAAAATAAAATCAACAAAACTTATGCCCGTCGATAGTTCATGTATAGGGCTCCACCCGCATAGTATTTAATAAGTGACAAATATAATAACTCATGAGTTACAAGGCTCTGAAGATGTCACCGGATTGTCAAAGAGGCGATGTTTGGCATTTTTTACCTCAATAAACCAAAATACAAAAGTATTTTTCTTTGAACTAAAAAATAGTCCAAATAACATACAAGAGGTCAAAAAATTACTGGGAGTTTTGCATGCTTCCCATATTCATACCAGCGTACAGAACTGGGTAGAAAAGTCACAGAGTAAAAAACGGATTTTCACCCTGCTCTACTCAATAACTTTTTGTGAAGCGAAATATGTTTTAAAAAATTTTGGAAAGCGGTTTTGTTATTTCCAGAAATGGGGCAATTACATATATTTAAAAAAAATAAAAAGACCCACCCCGACAAGCGGGTTCGATTTCAAATGAAACCACCCTATACAATTATTTGTAACCGCTACTCTTTCTTTATTATCCCTCTCCCTTTGTTTCTGAATTTATAACTACTTTGTAATTCCTGTTTGAGCTACAATATTTCAATCTGTCCACTTTAATACTTTCTAGATATTGCAAAAAACGAATAACAGTACTGTACAAAAGGTATAAATGTGTTTGCAAAGCTTACGTTATGCCTTTTGGGGGTTTCAAGCTAGGACTGAGAGCTCTGTGATCTTACAAGAAGTCTTTCCGTAGTTATATTGATGGTTAATATAGAATTTGAGTCTCTATGAATCGCTCAAACAACCCTATCCTACCCTCCTACTCTGTTAAACATCCGAATCTGACCGAGACCACCCCTAAAATCTGGTGCTCCCAAAGATATCCACAACAAGATAATGCCATATCTAAGGCGGGTCGCAGACATATTTTCGCCACATCCAAGATAAACGAATAACATTCTACAAGAATCCTTTTTTTTTCATTTAATGTTTGAGAGTAGTTCTGTCTGAGGTTGATTGAGTTGCTGTGGCACATGCGAATGTGAACGTTCCTTCAGGCAACGAATCAAGACACTGCTTGCTCCAATGAGCTACTTTGAAATAGATTGAGCCCATAAAACATAGATTTTTTACACATGTGGGCATATTTTCGTCACCAAGATTGAAACGCATAAGCTCTTCCATTCCCTTTCCTAATAGCGCACTTTGTTTAAACAAGTTTCCAACAAAGGCCTCCTCAGGGCATGTCTCTAGCAGGTCGATGGTCAACCAAAAGTGGTGGAATAAAAAGATGGGTACTTCGTCTTCAGGTGATTCTAATACAATAATAATAAATGTCTGAAAAATGCGCCTTATTTAGAACCCGAAGAAATAAAAAAGCACCGGGTATTTTAGTAATACAAGTCCATTAAATGTTCTTTGGAGAATAAAGTAGTCTATTTGAGTACTTACTAAGCGAGGAATACTTGTAATGAATTGCGTTTTGTATGTAACGTGTACAAGACTCTTTACACACATAGACAATGTATACTCGTTGACTTACTCGATTTACGATACAGTTATATAATTGTCCTTAAAAGCATCACTGAGGGAAATAAATACTGTATGAGGCCCACGCCACCCCATCCACTTCTACTTCAATAAAATAGCAAGACTAAGACAAAACGAATTTTGTTTGCATAGTTGCGTTTTATCCACCTGTTCCATTTGATATTTCTCGAGAACCAAGGCACTATATTGGTCTTTTTTGCGCTAAGGTAAGGTGTCATACCGAGCGCATTTTTTTTAACGAGTTACTCCAATCTATTTAAAGGTAGCCTCGTCTCGTTCAACTCTCCCCCCCTTGTAAGATTTTGTAATGAAGTTTATGATTCACCGCTGATGTCCCGAGGTATTCCAAGTTCAAGCCATTCTTGGGTGCTCCAGTTGGAGAATAGAGGAGGCCTGGCGCACCAATGTTCGAGGGTCGGCGCAGTGAACGACGTGGCCATCGCGTGCCAAGCAGCGGGAAAGCCGCGGTACAGACAGAAGACAATGACAGGCACGTGCCATGGACCCAGGTGCACAAAGACGTCGTCGGTCGTCACCATCTGGGAGAATTGAAACAAAAGGCAAATTGAAGGACTGCTCGAGCAAAACAAAACTGAAGGCACTGGGAGCACATCTCTTGTCAGCCTATTTACGTTCTTCACTAAGTCGCTTACACAATAACCATTTTGCCAAAGCGTGCGGCGTGGTCCGCGGCGCCGAAAGAAATGCAGGGAAAGCTAGGTACAACCGGTTCTAGTATACGACAGGGGCGACGTCCAGCGGGCCAGGACAACACCATCTAAGAAAAGCAGAAAGCCTCCGCACAGTAATCACAGCCAGATCGATCGAGGCCTGAGATTGGGCACGAGTGCTGCGTCAGTGTTCGACCGGGGCTCGTGTTCAATCAGCGCGTCGATGGTCGGACTTGGGCCCAATGGCCGAGTTAGCACGATGCGACTGTGATGACGTTTCATGAGGGGATAGAGGCGATGCGGAGGCTGATTATTCTAGGTGATGTTGGCCAGAGCAGGCGAGCTACTCCGGTTCCCTTTCACTCTCTTCCCTGTCACGTGGTAGGTGATGTGCTGGCAGGTAAGAGTATAAAGGACTCCGCAAGAGGCCTTTTGAGATTTTTCAAAAGGGCCTATTAGAAGGCCTGAGGAAGAATGCCTGAACTCCCCGAAAACTTCTTTGGTTGAACTGCCTAAATGAAGACAGTGCGTGAAGAAATAAACACCTCCCGCCCACCCCCTCTTTCAGAAAGAGAGCGACAACTTAAACTGCAAATATGTTTGGGGCGAGCCTCCTCTCGGTGATTCCGAAAATGTGTATGCTTTGGGGTTGAGATTTCGAAACAAAAACATGTTTCGAAATTGCTCAAATTAAGCCTTGCATCATCAATTTGATGTTGACATATTTATTTATTGATACTCCCGGCAGCCATAGGGCAATCGAGGTGGGAAGGATACATCGATCAAGGTATATGAAAAGCAAGCACAGAATGTGGTAGCGCAGCAAAAAAAAAACAACAACAACAAAAAAACACATTACTTATATATACAGGAACACACGCAGAGTAGGAAAGTATTTTTTTAAGGGGTATCAAGGCCTGAAAGCTCAAAATCCTGGTAATTTGTTTATCAAGGCTAGAAACAATGTCAAACATTTTGAAGAAATAATTTGTTGGGGTAATGCATTCTAGGCATGGATAGTACGAGGAAAATAAGTGTATTTGTAGCAGTCGGTCCTGCACTTTATTTCAGTGTTTGATGTACTGTGTTTATTTTTTGTGACCCTAGATGTGTTGAAGTGAAAGTAATCTTGACAATATAAGTTGTAGGTCCCATTTATTTGATTAAAAATAAATTTCGGTCAATTGACCGTTCTACGTTTTTGTAAAAACGGAAGAACGGCCTGTACATAAAGTTCCAAAATCGAGGTGTTTCTGTCATACTTATTAAAAATAAATCTTAATGCCTTCTTCTGAATCCTTTCTACTTTGTTAATATTACATCTTGTGTAAGGATCCCACACAGCGTCGGCATACTCGAGCATAGATCTAAAAAACGTTTTGTACGCGGTTAGTTTTGTTTGGCTCGAGGAGTCCTTCAGTTTCCTTTCTAATGCAGATAATTTATTCAAGGCTCTTCAGGAGATAAAGTCAATATGTGAGTTCCAACGCAGATCTGAAGTTATGATTAATCCTATGTATTTGTATTCCCATACCGCATTTAAAGCTGTTCCTTGAAGAGTATAATTAAAATTCAGTGGGGGAAGGGGGTGGGACATATTTATCGTCTCCGTGCCTTTAAAATATTTTCTCTTGTTCTGTGTTACGTTAATCAAAAGTATAATCAGTTGCCTTGGTAATATTTGTGCAAATAATTCAATCCATTTTTTCCTCGTAATTGTGACAGATACGAATTTCAACGAAATTTGAGCAACCAGAGTTATTTGATAGGAAAATAAAATTAAGACTTTCAACAAGATTGAGTGCCTTTTTAAAAAACAAAATAAAACAAAAAAAAACTGGGGAGTTCAAACGAAGTGTATATTAAACTTCGTTTAATGCACCTATTTTTCTCACTTAGAGTTGAAAGTTCGAATTAAACCTTCTTCACTATTTAGCTCAAATAAAATATTACCATATCTACACATCACACAGAATAGGTATGAACGCTTCAAACGACGCTTCATAATTATGTTGATGTTTACGCGAAAAACCGCAAGCACATTAATCTTTCTCTGTTGTTTCCACCTAGGGCTTCATAATGTCCAAATACAAAATGTTTTGTGTTGCGTTTTCTCATTGTCGATACACGCTTTTCAATATTAAGCGATGGGTATTTTCCACTAACGATAGCGCTTAACTCGACTAACGCTTAACTCAGCTAATACAGAAGTTAGTATATCGTTGTTTTTTGTGTTTTTTTTAATGTCCTTGACTTTGTAAACGTATTTAATTGGGCTCCTTTGAGAGCCCGTACTTTCTCCAGCCCATAGCATGACGCTGGGATGTGTTAAGCACTTAACAAAACAATATATTTTAACAGCATCATATAAAATCAAACACACATTTTCATAAAAAATGTTTTTTGAAGCGTTGCATATATAGTATTATTAAATCTGCCTTGTTTATTTATAAGCAAGCTTTAGGACTAAGCTCTGTGAGTTTTTCTACAATATATGTTGTGTCTGCACGCAAGGCTAGTGGATGATATGCACTCATTTGCACAGTTACGACGCAAAGCTTATTTATCTCTGTGATTGGCTCTTCTGACTTAAAATGTATTCCACTATCATTACTTCTATCTCATTCTAAAGTAATTTAATAACGGTAGCGTGTGCATGCTTACTTTTGAACTTTGCCTTAATGATCAACAAGCGTTTTTGCCTGCCATTTTGATCAACCATGTGCCTATGCGAGGCATATTTTTCAAGTGATAGAGGTGCCTGGCATTTAAATTGCGTCGTCAAATTTGTGAAAAAATTGTGAAATTTTTAACATTTACAATTTGCGATTGTTCAAAAAATAAGTTTTTTAGTATAGCAAAAACTGGACCGCGGAGGCCGAAGCTATAAAGTTTCTGACGAAGCAACTTATGGCTGACCGTATTCGAACGCTTTAACAACATCTAGGAAAAGGGCACACGTAAATAGGTTGTTATCAAATGCAGGGCGAATGAGATCGGTGAAATCTTCAAGCAGGGAGTGAGTGCTTCGTTTAACAACGAAACCATATTGGCTCTTTGATTAAATTTCAGACGTGTGGACAGAACTACTCCTTATATTGGACATGCGTTTTTCCTATATCTCGCCAATGCACGGTAAGATTCAGATGGGGCGATAGCAGTCCAGCCGGCTTGGTGTTCTCTTGAAGAGAAGATTTACGAGTGCGTTTTTGAACGGAGCAGGAATGTTAAAAGACGAAAAGACACCATTTATTGTGATAAGAATGACGCTTTTGATAGTTTCAAAATTTCGGCAGAGGTCTCCAACTCATATGCCAACGATACCTGGAAACTTTTTCTGCTTGATACCGAATAACATTGATCGAAATGTGTGTGCATTCATTGGGGGCGAAAAAGCAGATGGAGACATTTTGTCAACATGACTAGGAGTGATTGATGTCACTCTGGAATCCCTGGCAATTCCCGATTATGTCACAAAAAGCTTGTTGAAGTCATTCACAGTTGACTGCAAGTCTGAACCGAAATGCTTCTTTAGCGACTCAAGTTATGGGTTGCCTAGATGCCCGTCTTCAAAATGCGTTTATTAAGTCCCGGGTTTCTCGTGGATTGGACTTCGTCTCAAAAACCTTTTTCTGGAAGTAACGACACTTTGAAGATCGGATCATCGCATTCAGTTTGTTTCTCGCGGAACATAATTCTGCTCTTAGCTCCGAATTGCTAGGGGCGCGACAAGAGCGCATTCATTACGCCTATTTATCCTTAATAGTTTAATGATATTGGTATCAAGCCAGGGCTTATCGGATCGTTGTTTGAAATTGACTACTTTCTAGGAGGCCTTGTAACAAGGCTGAAAAATTGCAACAAAAGCAAGGTGTACATTCCAAGGTTGTGTAGATTGCAGGAAGTCATTCCAGTTAAAGGCCGCGACTAAAGCATCAAATATAATAGTATATGTTATTATTACACACGCGGGTTTCTTCAACTCTATTTTTGTTCAGCAGCTTGGTGCTCCAAGGGACAACCTACAAAGTAGTGATTCGAAAGCATCTGATGAATCACAGCGGTTTTCACAAGTGCACCTGGGGCTCTGATATTTATGTGATCGATGCAAGAGACTACTTGTCCACCAGACATAACGTCTTCTCTTGTTGGGATGTTAATGGCATTTCAATTCCATAGTCCGACAGTAAACTTAGTCAGAAACTGTAGATTCGATAGGCTTTAATGAGTTAATTTTCGGGGAAACAAAATTGCCCCTCTGACCACCATTCTTTGAGGACAATGTCCAGTTCTGCTAGAAAGCGAGGGGTTCTCTGAAGGTGGCCTGTACACAGCCAACAAGAATGAAGAGAATTCGCAGTATGTAGCTTTGATGACGATTGATTCTCCATGTTGAAAAGACACATTTGAACTCGACGGCAGCCATTTGTCCTTTATATGGCAATACCACCGCCCTACGATTATTACGCGTGTAAAAAAAATCGTTATTCCCATTCAAGATAAAATAATTACACTGATAAGCTTCAATATTGGTAAGAACAAATAAATCTACAGCTGGATCTAAGTTCTTTACGACGATTCGAAACCCCTACAAATGTTTTTTAAGCTTCTAATATTTACATGAATAAATGCTAAAGAATGAATAAAAATTGAGCCGAAAATATTATTAAATAAATTACAATCTGAAATGGAGTGACAAGTTGTAAAGGAGCTACTCATCGATGTTTAAGTGGTTTGATCCAGTGCTCCAGGGTCAGTGATGCGGAGAAGGGGAGAGTTCTGGCTCTGTGTGGCTCAACTTTTTCCATGTCGGACCCAAACAAATTTAAAAATATCTTCCATCTGGTCCGCGTCATGCAAAATAACTT